CTTAAAAACCAGTTAAGATTTGATATACAATTCGTGTGTAATTTAACTAATTTCCGTGTCTGTAACAAGTCCTATCTTTTAAGCATACCAAAAACTCAGTTTTGAAACAGTCAGAATCCTCTTAAGCCTAATCACTGCACATTACAACATGATCATTGATCGTCTATAAATAATGACACAGATATGCATGCAACTTGGTGAGTCCTCTTCACTGAGAAAAAAACAGAAGGATGCTTCTATTGGAGATAGGTTGTTAGTACGCTGAGAATAAAGAAATCACATTTTCACATTAAGGGACAGAGGAAACAAATCAAAGTAAAACTAACATTTAGTCTGTATTCGTTTTCTTCATTCACTTTTTGTAGTCCAAACTCTTTAAGGTGTAAGGGTAATTTCATAACTTCGGTATACATTCAGGTTTGACTCAGTTCAATTGTTGTCTTAATGATATTCACTTTATCTACCATCCTTCAGTCAAAATATTTTTTATAATGAGGTCGGAAAGCATTTTTACTCATATAGATAAAATGGCTATCACTGAGCACTATGAAGTGTACCATTAGTTTACTCACGTGAACCATCTTATTTATAGCGTGAGTGAATCCATACTAGAAAATGACATCCTACAGAATTTGTCCTCGAGTGTTAAATTTCATGGAGCTTTTACTCAAGCATTTGGAAACTAATATTGCTTCAAATAAACTATCTTAAAACCAAGTTCTTTCTGATTCTTATATTCGACCTACACTTATTTTCCATAAGATTCATACTTTTATAAAATCAAAATGTTTGACTGAAAAATTTATAAAATGTCATACACTTCAAATATCCACTTTTCAGTCACTTTATACTTTTTATGCATTCAGCTGTTGAGTACATATCCATTTAATTAAATTAAATTCAATGTAAAATTATATTCTATCCGAAGCATTTATAGTTTCTTTTGCTGCAAGCATTTTGCTCGATAATTCTTATCATTTCAACTAATTTTATCAACAGAGCAAACTTTATTAGCACATACTGTATTAATATAATACGGAGTCCACTCTTGAGATATATAACTGTATAATTGTGGGAGCCAGTATGAACCGATTCCCATGATAAAGAATTCAGTGCTGCATATTCATTTGTGTTAAAGTAATAATAATAGTAATCACTTTATTCTAAACAATTATTAGTACAATTTGGCATTCTCAGCATGTTATATTGCAACAATAAAATATATGTATATCTATACACTCCTTTGCAACATTTCGTATAGTGTAATCATGAGAATTTCAAGAGAAAAACTTTGCGTTAGTAATTAAAGTATTGGAAAGAAATTGTTAACTGTTAAAAAATTGTTAAGTGAGTTATGTTCTAACATTTTTCCCCACATGATATGCTTGTTAGGTAAGGTAAAGTTGAATTATTACGCTTAACTGTATGAGCGTACAGTCCGATGTAGTTTCTTCTCGTCCTGCTTGAGGGGGTGCAAGGAGAGAGCTTTGAATGGAATGAATGTTCGGTGTCAGTTAAAATTGCTGTAACTACTTGCTTGTTAGAATTTAAACGCCTACCAACTACAGTGTTAATCATTTGAGTCAGAGACACAGCACCCACCCTTCTGATTGCTTCTAAAGTCCTACGCAATATAAAGCTTTTTTAAGTAGGTCAGATAATACCAATGTGGAACAATAGAGAAGAATAGGTAAAATGTAGGAATTAATAAATTGTAAAAGTTGGGGTTGAGTTGTACCAGAAATAAAATATTCATTGGAAGTCAACAAGATATGAGACAACCAACAAAGTCTGGAAATAAATCTCAGTCAAATATAGTTAACGCTAGATTTGCTTTTTACAGAAATACCATTAATCAACAGGAGTCATGGAACTTAAACAGCTCACAAACGTCTTGTTTACGCCTTAGGCTGAAAGTCACAGTCTGACATTTGGAAGGACTTGGCTTGAGACAGTTTGAGAGAGACCATTGGTCAATAACAGGCAAGAATCCATTTAATTCAAAGCAATCTACGTTAGAGTTAACTTGTGTAGAAACCATCAGGTTATCAGCATACTCAATGAAATTGCTTCAACAGAATAAGTACATTATGCAATGAATGAAAAGAGAAACGGAGAAAGTACTGCACCTTGAACACACCAGCTTCAGCAAGTCATGATGTGTAGTGCCTCCGTTTATAGACAGTATACTGTTTCTTTCCAAAAAAAATAAGAATACAGCTACTTTGTAATCCATGGCTCAGTCTGAGCTGTGGCAAGCTTATTTAACAACAGTGGTCTAGATATATATCCATTTATATCCAAAATTACGTAAGAAACACATAAGGTAGTTCTGAGACCTAAATATCCAATAATTACTTTTATTTTCATACGTTCGACATTTAAATCAATGTGGAAAAGGTACTTTAATTAATGAGTTTTTCTCGAGATCAATAATAATTATCAAATGCAGTTAAATCTTAACGAAATGAAGAACAGATATCACGATAATGAATAAAAATTATGAGGAAATATATTTAAAGTCCTGGCATATCATGCATATCATTGCAAATGTAGCTGTCAATTAAACTGTGAATAATTTCAAGGTTGATTTTTATAAAAGAGGAAGAAAAATGTATTATCGCTTTGTACGTTTGCCTAAATACCGTTAAATTGCTATCCAAAAGTTATTTATTTACTTCAATTACTCTTATTTGCTAATCCTGCGAAAATATAGAAAGATATAGATGCATGTTTTCTACAATATTTCTTAAGTGAGGTGATTTAATACTTGCCACCAGTCTGAATAAAAAGTGCTACCATATATAATAATCCGAAACACAACCATTGAGTTACTTGATGCACAGCGAAAGTACTAAGCATTAGTCAGGTATCTAAGACTTAAATGTAAACTATCACTGAAAACGTTCCAATATAAATTAGTAAAATGACATTTTGTAATAATTCAGCATTATTTAAATAAACAGTCGAAAACCAATCGAAATAAGAGGCTGTAGTATTCAAATTGAAAACTCTACAATGTGGCTAATTACTTCTTTAGACACTTCCTAATGGACTCTAGAACACTATAATCTACCTCGTGAAATTATTATGTACGAAATTCAGTGGGGTCATCATGAGCATTAACTCTTGATCTGCAATAAATCTAGTACATCGTATCATGACTAGTAACTCTAATTGTTTATCTCAATGATTATCATTATTGTGGTGAAATCATTGCCTGTTACACTTGATCAGTGATTTCGTCTTTATGTTGCTGTACCGTTAAGAAACAACTTCACCACATTCTATAGATAAATGCCAGTACAATTTTTTCAACCATTTAAAATAACAAAAACACTGGTACTGATATGAGTCATAAATTGAATAAGTGTGGGTTTTGGATACCCCTGCTAGTCACTATCCCTATAGGTAGTCAGTTTTCATTTTATTTGAATGAAATAAAATGCTTTAGGTTACTGAGGTTTCGTAAATTCTTGAATGTCAATGCTCACCGCTTTTTGTTTTCTTCATGGCTTTTATATAGTGAAGTCTCCTCGATCAAGACTTGAACAACTAAAGATAGTGGTTTTATCGTTCTTCTATCAAGATGTATTTAGTTGCTGAGATATGTGAATTTTAGAATATGCTTGATTCTTTTAGAACAAGAGAAAATAGTGCTTCGACTGTTAGCTGCAGTTGTAAATGAAGAATAAGTAGTCATCATTTTAACCAACCCCTTTTTTATGTTGAACGAGTTGACTAAACAGTTTTAAAAGAATTCAACACAGCTTCAGTTTACACGCAACAGAAATTGTGCAGTGAACTTCTGTCTCACAAACTTTTGTCCTTAATAAGTTTTAGCCTGATACCTATTACAATCGAAATGAATGATTGAGAAATCGTTGATAATTACTTTTTGATTAAAAGTTAGATGCCTTTTCTCAATGAAACCAAGAAAACGTTACACGGGTTACGGTCTTGACTTCACTACATAAATAACACCAACAGTCACTTCGGAATAATCCCATCATCTTTGATTCGTTATAAAAAGACATTCACTCAAAATGAGATATGATGCGATGGATAATTTGACAATGGTTTGCTTTATATAAAACAACTGATCCTTGGATAAAAAAGTTTCAAAACTCTACACACTATGATAGAGCTCGATATTTTCAGTTCTTCTTACACTTAAAAAATAAATATCTTGCTTTGGGTTATGATCTTTTCGATGTATTAGTTAAAACGAAAATTGATCCAGTAGTAAGGAAATATAAACTAATAATGATTAGGAGCTACACAGCTGAGTTAAAGACATATAGCACAAAGAAATAGTCATACAACCAAACCTACTGGTTCCACACACTGTGAGTATCTTGGTGTAATAAGTCTCTTTACCAAAACAGTTAAATGAAACATGGTGAAATAATTCATGCTATATCATGAACTATCGATCGTCAAAGCTATCATTATTGTTATCCTACCCGACTCACCCTGAAAACGTTTTTTACCCAATACATAACAAAACTTAGAGTCAAATGATTTAGATTTCGACTTGTCAGCAAGATATCTTCAGTCCTCCTAAGCACACGTGTAAAGAAATCCTCAGATCATTCCCTAAAAGAGAAAAAACTGTTTCCAATAATTAATTAAAAGCCGCCGTAAAGTTGTTTGAAATGATACAATATCTTCTACTATTTTCTAAATGTGCAAAAGTTCACTAACGCTATCTCTTCAAATAATGCAACCATTTTAAAAACAATTACTCAAATGTCTGATTAAATCTTTCAAAGTCAAGAAAGTGTCTTTGAGTTGTACAAAAGGTGACCTCCATAACTATATGACAGTTTATTTGTTTACCAGTGTCAAAACAGGTTGTTTTTCAACTTTAAGGATAAGGGATTGTGCAAGTTTCACTTGGTCCAACCTGAGGACAGTACCGTAAATCGTTAATAGCAATTTCTCACTAACACTGATTATAGAACAGAAATTACCATAACATTAATGATTTCACTTACTTGTGCTATCCTGTGCCCAACAGCAGCATCTACACTCAGATTAATCATTCTTTGTTGAACACGAGGAAATTCCCATTCCGGTGCGTTGTCATTTACATCTAGTATTCGTAGTACAATTTGTGCTGAACCAGTTAAAGATGGTTTACCACTATCTTTAACAAATAAATCCATTATAATCAATTCCAACTTTTCACGATCCAATGGCATGAATCCATCGTTAAAATTAGATCCACCAGTCTGTGAATTTATCTGGGGCATACGAAAATATAAGTCACCGGATTTGGAATTGAAAACCAATTGATTAAATTGGAATGTGTTGTGAAGTAACTAGAATTTTTTAAGGAATACTCTTTGTCAATCGGTAAGTTTGGCTTATCACCAAGCATTGAATGGTGAACAGACTGAAGCCAATAATTTAAATTTTTGTTTGAGTCATCTGTGTCACAGTCATGTGCTTCTATCTTCCCTATACGTACTGGCGGCCTTGAATCTTCACTAATATTGAACTCGTATATCTGCTGCGTAAACGCTGGTATACAGTCATTGATATCTGCAATATTGATTGTCACGGTTGCATTAATTTTGTTAACTTGTATTGTAGAGTTATTAGTGTGCATTGTGAGTACGGCCTTGGTGGTGGTATCCCCTCCATCGCAAACTTCAACAAGTAAAGATACTGATTTTATTGTTTCCCTATCAAAAGTCACTAGAGATTTCAACTCACCACTGATTGGATTCAATCTAAACCACGGCGGCGGTGGTAAGTTTAAGTCCTGAAGTAGCTCGGGTTGATCCTCATCACTTCTATCTTTTTTACTGTTGGCCAACTGCGGTTTACCTTCACTAAGTAGTTTGTAACGAAGTCCAAGATTGCCAGCGTTTGTTGTTGGATCATCAGCATCTTCCGCGTGAAGTTTCAGAACAACTGTATCAATAGGTGCTCCTTCTTCAAGTGTCCCTGATAAAGGTCCTTTAAACACTGGAGCACAATCATTCTCATCTGCAACAATAACTTCCAGTATAGCTGTCGATGAATGTCTTCTATATTCTGATACATGTAGAATAGTTTGATCAACTTTTTCATTGAAGTTGTAGCCGCTGTCATATTCATCATTATCATGACATTCTATATGTACATAAAATCTAGCTTCATGTTCTCTATCCAAAGAAGTGTCAGCTAAGTTGATTTTATACCTAAATCTTCCACTCTCTAAGACATTTTCACCAACATTTAATGGACTGATTCCGAATGCTTTATGATTTACTTTACATACCGGCTCAAGGGTTTGAGGGTGTCTAGAATTCAGTGACCTGTTCATCACTGCTAATGAGGATTGTGGTGAGAAAACAGCTGAACTGTCTTTTATGAATTTCACATCCTTCATTTTTCGTGCACGTAGCTCAGCTGTTAAATCTTTATCGGTTACTGTTGCTGTCGCAACCAGCTGATTAGGTGGGCCATTCTCTTTTACTAGTATAGTCAGGTGAAATCTTGAAGGATGCAGACTGTCGCTGAAACTGTTGCCAAAATAAAAATTACGGTCAACCTGTCTGAATTCCAGTGGAGAATGAAGTTGTATCTTGGGTACATGGTCATTTAAATTGATAACGTATACTATGAGCTCTGACTCATCTGTCCACTTATCATCAGTTACAAAAATAGGAATACGATGCACATGGGTATGTTCAAAGTCGACATGGCCATAAACTGATATCGATCCAGTCATTTTATCGATATGGAATAATTGTCTTGTTTCGGTTGATATAGATGGTGAAAAGTCGAACTTTAGACGTGATCTGTCTGTTACATCTTTATCTGTAACCACTGGACGATAAATTTGTGTACGAATCGGTAAGTGTTCTTTAATCCATATCTCGTCATAACGTTTGAAAAAAAGTGGTGGATGATCATTAATGTCAGTGATTGTTATATTTAAAAACAGATAACCAGTCAAGGGAGTAGGTTTACCTGCATCCGATGCGTAGATTAAAACTTCATGTAGTGTTCGATTTTCATAGTCTAAATCCATATTTACAATTAACCATAAAGCAGAACCAGCATTATGTGATGAGGAGTCAATGTTGCTAGTAGTCAGTGCATCCCAGTCTAGAGAAAAAGCTCCATTAACTGTTTGTCCATAAATTCCATACACTGAAGTTGTATTTTCTGGTCTAGAATCTGGATCCACAGCCTGAGGTAGAGCAATCTTTGTTCCTATTTCGGTGTGCTCTGGAATAGTTAAGTCCAACTTAGGAATGGGTTTGTTAACTTCTAATAACTTCTGATGAATAAAAGAGTGTTTATCTACATGGTGTGCTGAAACGGTTAGAGATTCATGAGCACTCCATTCAGGCGCATTATCGTTTATATCCAACACCTGTACATTAACTTGTAGTATTAATTGATTTAGGCTGTTCTGTCTATCATGAATATCTGTGAAGTCGACTAAAAGCAGTAGAACAATTACGCATGGTTTACTGTTTATTGACAAACTTTGCTTGTTGTACTCACTGAAACTAACACCCGTTGAACAACATAACTGTTCATTTGAGCATACAGCCTCTCTGTTCACTCGAGAATTCACTCGTAAGTATTGGTCATGTGAATTTGATAAATCAAGAAAAAATAAAGGATTCGGTTCAAGAAATTTGAACTGCAACTCAAGATTCGAAGTGATTATCTGTTCAGAATTTGTCTGAGATAATGCTTCGACGAATAACTTTCTCAGATCAGCTACCACCGCTGTTCTACCCAATTCCTCTTGCATATTTACAAATACTTGATAGTTACTTTTCAATTGACTTGCAGAAATTCCAAACTGTGACGGGAAAAAATCAAATAATAAAAGTAGTAATAGACAACAGTCGTGAATGATAACTTTTAGGAAGACTTCTGTTATTGCCTTTTTACAACATTTCATTTTATGTTACCCAGTTGATTTGTGTATAATGATAATAATTGGCATAGGTATATTTTTCATTTATATTGATGCTTTTGTAATAATTTGACACAAATTCTACGGAACAAGTATGTTCACATCCTGTTTTCTTAAAAATTTAAGAAAATATTTCCATGAAATTATTCATGTGTTGAACTAGAGTTTGTTAAAAGGTGATTGGTTATCACCAAGTAGCCAATCAAATTTCGAAAACTCGTTTACTAAAATATTATGACGGAGAGTTATTTATAGTAAAAATGAAACTTTTTACAGAATAGTATTGAAAAAATGTGCATTTTTTATTGTTTAATTACTTTTTAACAATTAAGTGGCATGGAAGAAAACAAAGACGTCAAGGAGCTAGAGAACCAAAGCGAAACCGAATTTCCTCGAGCTTGACGATGCAGCCTGATGGTAACCATTCGTAGTTAGCAAATGGTGGTCTGTAGTTTGCTCCGTAATCTCTCTTTATATCTGATACTGTAGATAACGGAAATAACTTAACCGTATACAAATTCAGATCGACATCTAGGAATACTGTTTAAAACAAGACACACACACAAATGCAGCAGAGCATAACTAGCCTTACCTGTGGTTACTTGTGAATAAACAAAAGTCAAAAAACAGAGGTGAAAAACAATTAATTGCCACAATAACTTTGAGAATAATATCTAGTCCTCTTGTAATGAATGGGTTCCTTTATTGGATCCTGTCAACTAATAAATATCTACAAATATACTGTATTTTCATCTAGTGTACTCCAAACTGGTCTTCAGTGTACTTACTAAAAGAGGTGACTGACTAAAAACTCTTGAATATTCTGATATGTTTTCAATAACTTCAACTATTTTGAACCCCTTGAAAGTTCGAGAAGGAATAAATTATCTATCACACTAACTACCGCCTGAAGAAATGAAGTCACCAAAAGAAAATGCTTTTGAATTCCTGACTAAACTGTTTTTGAATATTTTACACTTGGATATACGTTCTGACTTGACCTAACTGATTTTCATCCAGTAACATACTTAATGGTGAAGTACATAAATTACAAGACTTTCTATCTTTGCTATGTAAGGAATGTGTTTGATTTGCTTGTCATGCCTTTTCTGAGAATCGGAGTGTATTTCGTAGGTTACTACCTCAATTCTTCGTCTGATGGTAAGCCATTTCTCAGTCACTTCACCCTTCCACTCGTTTAATACCACGTCATCCCTAGGAATGAATTAATGACTACTGTTTATTGGTAGTTTCTGTTAAAGAGTGTAGTGGTAAGCTTTTATTACACTCAGTAGATGATTTCTCTTTGGTTTCTTGTTGTTTTGGATGTTGTCAGGAAGTCACTTGCTTTTCTTCCCCTCTACTCTTTAATCAAAATCTCCTCAAGTATCTACTTAGTTTTCCGATTTCGAATGACAAGGTGATGAAAATAAGATTTATGCAGCTTTTATCTCAAAAATTCTGGAATGCGACGAAACATTTAAATTGAGCCATAACGCTGTACTAATGTCTGTAAAAAATAAAACATTCAACCGTATGATTAAAGCCTGCGTGGTATGTTGAGCTATATAGTGTGCATTTCAACCTTAAAAAATGCAAATTTTCATGTACTGAATGCAATTTCCGTACATCCACTCTAGTCACAGATCATGGTTGCGAAGAGCATTTGATTGCAACTGTTTTACTGAAATGCCATTAGAACAACTCAAACATTTAGGTTAAATTACCAGTCAGCATACGTATCTCTGAACTAATAATTTTATTCTTCTAACAGCCGCATAAGTATTATGAATCTATGACAGGACTTGATGGCTAAACGTTTCAAGTACTACAACTTTATCTCAGAAAATAGCACTACTGAGAGTGATCAATATAATAATAATACTGTTGAATTTCTTCACGATAGGAAGTTGGTTTTATTTCTGAAAACTCCATAAGGTTGGATTACGTTCTTGGAGCTCTCTAAATAGTTGCAAAAGCCATTGGTAGCTGCATGTTATGTTACTATGAGCATTTCTGACTTGATACTCTTACATGAAATCATGATGGTTTTCTCGGTGTGATTTGCTAACTAGTACTTTTTAAGAGAGCATAAACCCGGCTGAAATTAATTTTCGATTGGTATATTCATTTAAAGTAGAAACCGAGTCATTCAGTTGCCTATCCTAGCAAGTACTTAGAAGTACACAACAGAAACTTTTCTTTTGATCCAAACTTGCCACGAACTGTTTATGGTGAATTAATTTTTTCAATTGTTAGCGGCAGTCATTTTCAAATCTTTCTGTCTACTTCACTTCAATTGCATTTTTGTGAAAGTTAGCCTCTAGGGTAGCATGAGGAATTTGCTTCTTATATGCATCGAAATAAACATGCGAAATAAGATCACTACTGCCAAAACTTCAAGCGTCTGTTGCAAAATCATTCACAGTAGATTGAGTACAGACTTGAAGGAAGAAGAAACATAATTTTCTCAAATACCTACTGAAAAATAACTAACCAATCCCCTCTCACACTATTTAAGTTCATTTAATGGTGTGTTTACCCACGAAGATTGAGAAAGAAATCTGAATAATGATAATTACAAACCAACTTCTTATGGCTATGGTGGGGCTTTAAATACTCTCGTACCAGTCAAATGTAAGTATTTCACGTTGCTGAACACAGCAAATCCGGGATCATATACTTCTTCTTTTACAAAGTCATGTTTTCTCCAGCATAATGGGACAAGTAATAAATGATATGAGTGAAAACTATTCTAGATTTTTAAGTTTAGGCTCCCTCAACTATTTGCATTATGCTCGTCATTCACGTGGGCCATCCTACTATGACTGAGGTAAAGTTTTTCACAATTTTAATAAACCTTTGTTAGTGTTTATTTTCAGAAGTGTATATAAACGTGCTCATTTCAGGTCCCACTTTTTCAAGACCTTACCAATATTTGGTTTGATAAAATGACCTTCATGTTACTGAGTTACAGGCGAACAGTAGGAAGTCCTGGATCTCGGTTTCAAGCCTGTTGGGAATCGTCAGCAAGACGTATCTGCAACCTCCAGGGAACTGATGTCCCCCTCTGAGATCCAAAACCATTTCACCTAGTGTTGTAGTTAGTAACGTTACCACTGAGCTATTTGGCTTATGACTGATCTCCTGTAAAAAGTCAACCAACCAACATTCACCAAGGTGGACTGCGATAGTAAACATCCTCAATTGGTGGTCACACTGCTAAATGACCAATAGACTTCGGTCGGCACTCAGCACTAGACAGCATGAAATTGGTCACCCTACAGTGATCAGTCAGTATAAACCTTCATGTGATGGATATTCGCGATTTTGAGAACTGCTCCTAAATCATCTGGATAGAACTTGGTTGTGCCGCTGGCCTTTTTATGATTGCAATTCGAGCTACTCCTATACACATGAAGTCTCACAAGGCTCATATTCTCACTGGTCCTCCTTATGCATTTTCGTGAATAATAAGGGCGAAGACTACGTTTTTAATGATAGACTCTCTTTGAAAAGATACAAGAACAGAGTACATACTATCAGAACTGAGATGTCTCTGAATCTTTATTTTAATAACCTGGTCAAACTGGAGCGTTAGCTAATTCCTGAGTAGTACCATCGGCACTGAAGGAGTCACTACCACTTTCAGCAGTGAGTATGACATACCTCCGATTTCCAAACGTTTTATATTTGATTTCACCTTCTAGTTGTTGACGCTAGGTGAATTGCACATAGTGTTTGAAAAATTGCCTTAATGGAACTCTAAGTTCCTACTTACAGTCTTATTTAATAGCACTTCATCATCGCTTTAAACCACTCAGTCTAAATAGCTATTATCGTATCATTTTATTCCTACCAAGTTAAAAATAAAATCCAGTTCGTACCAACTCTTTATACAAAGAGGACGAGAAACGCATGAACAGTAAATTTTTAGGACTTCACCTACTCAAGTTATATTCAAGGTAAACTATTTAATGAAATTTCAGTCGGTGATGAAGTTTTGACAAAAGTCACAAGAAACCCGTTTATTTCACCTCATTTCTGATTGCTAGTTCTGGGGATGCATAAAAGCATCGTCACTTAAAGTGACGAGTTATGCATATCAGTAATGCCTTGTTAGTTAATAACACAATCCGAATAGTTGTTGAACACTCATGAATGGACAACATTAAATTGGTTACTCCCTAGTAATCAGTTAATGTATCTAATCTATTGAGTTTAGTCGTGATCCGAATATCTCAGTAGTAACATGTCTGACTGCATAAACGGGTTAGAGTCTCTCAAGAGACATCTGTTCCCACTAAGATGTGGATGCACTCAGCTGACGTGTGCTAACAAGCGTGAAACCTAGGTTTAGGGCTTCCTGTTGATTGCTTTAACCAACTGGCTCTAGTTGTGTATTTCTTCCATTCCTACACTAAATGAAAGACATAACCGTTCGTTTCTTTATTGAAATACTTCTTTCAGTTACAGGTTTATTCACGCAAATATTACAGTGATGTATATTTACTGTATTTAAAAATATGCCTACAGGCTGTCAGGTTATGAGATACATAACTTTAATTCGAAACAAAACAAATCCCTCAAGATGTAAACAAATCAAGGAAGTAAGTGAAAAATGATTCTTAGGCTTTGCTGGGATAATAAACTCTTTTTTACCATTATGATTGATATCGAATTAAAAAGCCTTCTTACCATTCACTCATCCACCTGTCGAATCAGTCATTATAAGTTCTCATTTGCACATCATTTTACTATAGGTAACCTGTTTCTTATATCAAAGTATCTGCATAGCATCAAATTTTCCAACAACCAGGAAGTAAGCTCAAGTATACCTAATATTTCTGAAAATGATTATAAAATGATTGATAATGGTTATA